GTATCATCATAAAAATGGATCTCTATCCAAACCCAAGGCAAGATTTCAGAAAGAAATAACAAAAAGACAGCAATTAACAACAGCCGAACGAGAATAGAGAAAGTCAAGGAACAAACTAAACGCACAGAAACAAACAAGCAAGTTAAGAGGAGCAATGGAGCCGACTAGCGAAAATATGTTGAAGAGCTAGAAAAAACAGCAGAAAAAGCTTCAGGCGAAAGAAATATAAAACAACTATATGATACGACGAAGAGACAGGTGATGAAATACAGTAAACCAGAGAGATTGGTCAAGGATCAAAAGGGCAAGACAGTCACCAATATTGAAGAACAGAGGAACAGAAGGGTAGAATACTTCAAGGAACTCTTGAATAGACCAGCTCCACTGAATCCACTGGACATCGAAACATCGCCTACATACCTTCCCATACATGTCACTTCATCAACAGTTGAAGAAATCAGGCTGGCAGGCCATCAGACAGATCAAGAGTGGGAAAGCAGCAAGACCTGATAATCTGAAGTCAGACATAGAGAAATCTGAAAACATGCTCCACATCCTCTTCAGAAAGATTTCAGAAAGAACAAGTGCCGACAGATTGGAATGATAGATAACTCATTTAGATACCAAAGAAAAGAGATCTGAGTAAATGTGAGAACTACAGAGGAATCACACCACTATCGGTACCGGAAAAGGCTCTCGGCAGAGTGCTGTCCAACTACAAGATCAACAGTCTGGATTCCGTAAGGATCGGTCATGCACAGACCAAGTTGTGTCACTACGGATCATCGTCTAAAAAAGTTGAATGGGACTCGTCAGTATTCATCAACTTCATTTACTATGAGAAGGCGTTTGACAATGTGGACAGAAGAATATTATGGAAACTTCTTCGACACTGTGGAGTTCCTGAGAAGATTTTCAACACTGTCCGGAACTCATACGACGGACTACAGCGCAAAGTCGTGCATTCAGGACAGCTAACAGACACATTCCAAGTGAGGGCCGGAGTCAGAAAAGGCTGTCTACTCTTCCCCTTCTTCTCGCGGTCGACTGGACTATGAAGACCTCGACACCTGAAGAGAAGCACGGAATCAATTAAACGATTTGCACCTTACAGATTATCTAACCCTTCTGTTCAATACACACCAACAAATGCGGATGGAGACAACTATTGTAACAGCATCCTCTGCATCAGTGGGCCTCAGTATGCACAACGAAGAAGCAGGATCCCTAAATTCAGCACACTGAGCATCAACTTAATCATACTTGATGGAGAAACTCTGGAAGAAGCGGGAACTTTCACGCAGCTGGTCAGCAGTATCATCGGTGGACGTAGAGTATCTGCTGTAGACGTAAAAGCAAGGATTGGCAAAGCAAGGACAGCATTCATACAGTTGAACAACACATGGAACTCAAAGTAACTGTCAACCAATATCTATGTCAGAATTACTACACCCGTCATCCAAAAGGTACAAGTATTTATAAACAATTGTCTATAGAAGATACTCAATGTCCGCTGACTAAATACCACCGATAACAACCTATTGTAGAAGAGAAGTAACCAGCATGCAGCTGGGGAGGAAAATAAGGAAAGACGTTGGAAGTAGATAGGATGTAGACTGAGGAAATCAGCAAACTGGATCACGAGGCAAGCGCCAATATGAAATCCTAAGTGGAAACGGAAAAATGAAAGGCCGAAGAACACATTACGTCGGGAAATAAAAGCGGATATAAAAAGGATGAATAGCAACTGGAAAGAACTTGAAAGGATTGTCCAGGACGGAGTTGGATGGAGAGTGTTGGTGGGTGGCCAATGCACCTCCACGAGGGGTAACGGGTGTAAGTAAGTAATACCAAGACCATCATTCACTTTACTGTAAGCCAGTATTAGATAGCAGATATAAGTTCAGGCGTCCCGATCTGTCATCATAAGACAGGCCACAGAGTCCTTATACCATTTTGGCCCCTCGCTGTTGAAATAGTCTCAGTACGTCCTCGCTATGCTTGAAACAAAAGTTCGCTGCTTTAACCCCATATTAGGGATGAGGACTCACTAAGGTTTGACATAATACCTCCTAAGCGTTTCGTTCACGTACTGAAATTACATACGAATAGCTATTAAGACCCTGAAGACTGCCAGGAGAAGCCTTGCAGCTACTCGTAATTTTGAGGTTGCTGTTTATTGTGACTCCTAGATATTTATAGCCCATTACTCCATGTATTACAAGTCTACATATTGTGTAGTGATTTGAATTATCTCTGTTTTTATTTGCATCTCCACACTATTGTTGGAGTTAACTTCTAATGACCACGTACCCACCTATACAACCAGTGAATTTAGGTCATCCTGTAGTTTTACTCTATGTGAAATATTGTGTACGAGACTCCAAAAGATTGTGTCAACTGTAAACAGTAGGACAGATGACTCATCTACAATGTGTAAGTCATTTATATGCAACAAAAAAGAGGGGAACTGAGGATTGTACCTTAGGGAACTCCATATTTTACAGATTCGCAAGTTGATAGAGCTCAATTTATCCACAATATTTGTCTTCTATGATTGATGAAGTCACTTGTCCAGTCTACGATTTCATAATGAATCCCAAAACTTTCCAGTTTTAATTTAAGTCTCGTGTGACAGAATTTGTTAAAAGCTCTACTTAGGTCTACGAAAATTACATCCACCGAGATATTTCTTTCACTGTGGTCCAATCTTCTCTTGCAATGGGCAGATTTGTCCAGTATGATGAGCCTTACCTAAAATCATGTTATTTAGCTAAGACTGTTACCATCCATATAATTCGGAACGGCTATCCGAGAAATCTTTTCCACTAGACAGATGACTACACTGGTTGTACTAACAGATCGATGAATGCCAATTATCCGCCCTCCGTCTTATAAACTGGACTGATAATTGCGTCTTTCCCGTCTTTTGGTAGTATTGTCTGCCTTGAAGATATTTAACAACGTTGTCAAGATAGTTAACATATGCTTATTTTGTAATTACTTTTTGTTATCATTCACATTTTCCACAGGGGGCTTTTTAGTGGCTGGTATTATGTAAAACCAACATAGGCTATTCCAGCTTATGAACAGACCAATTTGTTCATTCTTCTCAAGCCACATTTTGGCCTAGTTACCTATTCGCTAATAAACCATAACTGTTTTTATACGATCGTATGGGTATTAATCGCTCATTTTATTCCTTGGATGCCACGCTTAGTCTAATTGACTTGGTTCACTCGCCTTCTCGGCTGCGCGTCACTTCATTTCCATAACTGTCTTTTCAGATCAATGAGTGTATGAAATATGCGTGTTTGCCTTATTTTGTTCCATCATTCTCTAACGCGAATAAGGTCGATATAATATACAAGAGTCGTCGGCATGCATATTTCGATAACAATCATCATGCGATTTAACTAAAGTCAGATATCGGGTGACATGTTAAGCAAATAAACCCACCAGGGGTTTCAAAATCCTAAGATGAATATCACTAGAACAACTGAAATTATCTAGTTCGAGATGTTGAGGTGATCGTAGGGCAGTAAAGATTCCACAAGTGTTTGGAATGATATATCCCGACGAGCATAATGAATGGTAACTGTCGGGGTCTATTAACAGTCTGACACTATAAATATTTTCGTTGCATTATCGTTAAGTAACTAAACTATGTATATTCATATTTCCCTTGTCGTAAGCTTCATGTTGACTCATAAGCCATAAGTAGCCATTTGTAGCGTTACTTGTATGCGGAGACCTACTGCTGCTGAGGCTGCTGCTACACTGGTTTGCGATAGAAGAGCCAGATCATCTGCAACGTCTAGATCGTCCGACTGCATCCTAGATGTCCCCTGTATCTCATGCTTCCTATCAGATGTTGACATCTTCATGATCCAGTCGATCATCAGTAGAAGGAGGAAGGTTGAGAGTAAGCAACCTTGCCTGACACCGGTCTTTACCAGAAAAAATTATTCAAACCACTTTGACCCATAGACTTTTACTATACGATTTGCCATTTTCGAGTTATGCCAAGTCTATTAATTACAGCCTCTCAAATTCACGGCCTTTTCTGGCTTGTACACATGTTATTTTCTATTTTGTCGTGTGATGATGTCTGTTTGATTGAAATACATGATCCATATCTCAGAGGCTGAGATCGGTATTCTGGACTCAACAGGCAGGGCTGGGCAGAGAGAAGGACCGATAAGGGCACTAGTTTGCTCGTACGGGTTTATACGTTATTGGTCCGGTCGACAATTCGCTGTTTTCTAATCGATGGTATCATTACATTATACAATGATAGAGCACAAGATCACAAGTTATAACACGGAGTTTGTCAACGACTCTACCACTAACACCATTATAATGGAAGTATGTCAACCCATTCAAGTCAAAAGTCAGAAATTAAGAGGTTCGAAGATATATTTGAAAGGCTATAAGTATGTTGAGGAACATTTGGTCTATTTTGGCTAATTGTTGAAAGGGATATGTAGAATGGCATACCCACTCGGGATCTGGTGTGGATGTGTGACAGAGAGCCCTCAGAGAGGTGTGTCCAGTAAAACTAATGATATAAGCACAAAATATTGAAGACTCCCAGAGCTGTTTGTTCTGAGGATTTATTTACCGCTACAACGGCTTCTTTCTCAGTAACCACACGATCCGTTGACAATCCGCCAATATAAGTATTACTTGTAGGTATTTCTCCGACGGATCAATAAGTTATAGAATACTCCACCGAGTCATAATGACGGGAGCTTTCAATTCATTAATAAGAAGGAGGTTCGAGGATTCATTTGATGCTGTGGGACTAAGGGAGAATACCCTATATTTTACTTCCCTATCATTAATCACATTAACTAAATTGTTCGGCTATTCAATTTGTGAAAGAACCAGGACCGAAATCATGCATTTCTGTAAACAAGAACATTTTCGATTAGCAAAGCATAGATCGTAAGTGATAAATAGTTCTTAAAGCAATTTAGGATCTTTAGTTGTGAAGACTTCTCGGAGGGCGGACGACTTGTAAGGGTGCGTTACCTTCTCTCGTGGACCCAAAATATTCAAGGTTAATGAGGTAGTTCTATGTACTTCTTATTTTTCTATCCTCATTTGTTCATATTTAATTACCATTAAGTACGATAATTCGAGAAATTATCTTTCACTCGCGTAGTATGATGACTTATTTATTGAACGTTAATTGATTAAACACTTGCTTTTGGTGAGACATGAGGTAACTTATTTAAGGACAGCATCAGTTAGTTTTGAATGAAAAATGTCCAGAACTTTCCATCGGTTCTGCGTTATTCAGTTTACTAAATCACGCGACTTTGTAGTATAAATAACTGACGTAGTTAAAGGCTTTTCAATACAAAATGTGTTGTTCTCTCTTTGTCAAAAAAGAGTATTGAAACCAAACTGTTGTGAAAAACTCCTCAAAATCGATGGAGGTGCTTAAGAATTTCGCCTGATTAGAATATTTATTTGAGTGGTTACTTTTCTTTTCGGAATATTTCGTACAATATGTTTCACTGCCATCCTTTTTATTTTGATTTCACATAATTTCGCATCTATTAAACTAGGTATCTTCAGTTAGATAGGATTCGTGGCGACGCCTACACTCATCCCCCCATTTCAATTTGTTTTGATGCGTATGATGATGCTAAACCATATGATTTAGTTTAAAGCATTTCACTTAAGCGTTTAATCATTTAAATGGTGCAGCAACGTCAGAGGATACATCCCCGTACTGACCAGTCCCTAAGCAATTTTATACACCATTTGATACTTCAACATCTTATGATCCGTGTCTTACATCGGTTATGAATCAAAATTTTAATATTAATTGCACCGTTGTGTCCACTAACCTGGCCTACGCAATATTAATTTTGCAACGTAACACTTCTGCAAACGCTTATTGGCTCGTGGCTTTACGAGGAGTTTTTCAAAAGCAAGTAGATCTTTTTCATCTTTTAGGACTAAAAAAGTTATTGATATGAGTTGTAAATAATAAGAAGGATTAAACTCATTGGACAAGTATGTGTTTATAAAATCTAATCTCAGCCACTGTTTGAAGTAATAATTATATCACCCAACTGCTTAAAAAGCAGTAAGCTGAGCAATGTTCTAATCTACGTATATAGTTAAGTGTCTGTCACTTTCACTACCATATCACTGCTTCATAATTTTTAGAGATATGTAAAGCATTAAATAGGGTTCTTAAGTATCCGAAAGTGATCTGAACTCTAGGTATTGTATATTGTACTTCAGTGGTATCTAATATAATTTTACCTGATTTTACTTATCTAAAACTTCAATGTTGAGTGAAGTATCATAAAGTTTGTTTTCCGAGTGTCGTAATGTATTGATGTTCTATCATTGGTAAGCATTGCATATAAAAGCATTGCAAATGAAAATTTTTCAGCGTTTTAAATGACCTTTTCTTTCTATAAATCTGCATTAGCTATACTAGCATTCAGTTACCACTTACTGGAGTGGGAAATGCTCTCAACCACTTGATGCCTATCGATTCTACTGTTAACACCGTCAGAACTAGTGACCAGTTAAACGAATCTTCGTTTATACAACTAACAGATAGTGATGGCAACGAAGTTGGGACGCCAATATGGATTCCTTTAGACGTCGACAGAGGCAAACTCACAGATTTACTAAGTAGTCTTCTTCAAAGAGTGAGCAAACTATTCTTACTATCTTCACTATTATTTGTTTACAAAAGCTTGTTTACACACACAGATGCTTCAGCACAGTTTGAACAATTCATGTCTGTTTGTCAAGATTGAAAGAGTAAACGACATCAATAGAGGAATTTAATTACCTACCAGTTAGTTTATATACTGTTGGGAGTATTTCATATCTAAGTCACAACAATTAGTTTGTGTTAGATAAAGTGATTATATTGTTCCTGGTGATATGGGCAATCAAACTGACTGGTTTTAAATTTTGCACAGTATTGGACTCTCTTGATTTGTCACACATACAACGAAAATAAAAGTAATAAAGAATTCGAAGGATAATTTAAAGGGATAACAAAATTTTCGTAATCTAGAAAAAACAAAACAAATGGGAATAGATCTGCGAAGTGGTCCCTGACCGTTGTTGCTACCTTGACGTGGTGGTCGGGCTTGCCTATCGTGATGAAGCAACTGAGCTATACTGGCTGGAACAACCGTTCCTCAAGGTCCTACCATGCCAGACAGGTCGGTTGAAGAGCGGTAAGACTAAAAGCAACAAAACCAAGGTCCGAAGGCGAAGTCGTACTGCTGACTGTACAGAGGTGTGACAGCAGTAAGGTGTTTCCTTCAGACAACCAGCATGACAGCGATGCTGCCTTCCCACAAGGAGGGGTGGGGTTAGAAAAGGTCGACTCTAAAAATGCACACCTAGCCTTATCCCACGGATATCCGTCTCCGGCGGTAAGGACTCAACAAGTACGGAGCTAACACAAAAATCACTCATAAAAAGGTCGTGTGTGACCGACCTCAAGCAGCTGTCCCTTGGGCACTGCGGTCACGCTCTCAGGTCACTATGACCAACTCTAATCCAATTTCTTTTTCAGGTACCTCCAGAAGAACCCTTCCACGGTGTGGGCAACCGGGAAGTGACAACCACCCTCATACCTCTAACAGCACTCAAGACCACTGTATTCATAGTCAACCTCCCTCTTCAATTCCTATTATTCCTCCTACATCGACTTTATACACTAAACTTCCTCTTTTAGCTTCCTCCTCAAGTGTCACCACAGCCAACGATTCTAGTGCTCAAAACACTGTCCCAGGTCTACTGAAACCTCGTTCCAAACTATACATTGGAGCCTTCAACGTACGCACACTATGCCAAATCGGTCAGCAGGCTTCCATGGCTAAAACCTTAGAATCTCATACCATTGATGTATGCTGTGTCTCCGAAACACGCATACAGGATCCTAGTGTGGTCATTCACTTGACCTCACCTCGGCAAAACGGAGAGCCAACGAGATACACCCTCCGTGTATCTGGCGACCCGATGGCTAGTTCTCGTGGACTGGCAGGTGTAGGCACAGCACTTAGCATGAGGGCGGAACAAGCGCTATTAGAGTGGATCCCCGTTAACAGTCATCTATGCGCTGTTCGGCTAAACGGCTCCGTAAGAACTCGGAAGGATAGGGACACACGTCGTTGCCTTTTCGTCGTTTCTGCCTACGCTCCCACTTACTGCAGTTCGGATGAAGTGAAAGATGAATTTTACAGAAAGCTGTCTGAACTTCTTCAGAAAGCTAAACGTTCAGACATAGTACTCGTAGGAGGTGACTTTAATGCCCAGGTAGGTAGCTTAAACAAAACAGAAAGACATTTAGGTGGGTATTTTAGTATTCCGGCACAGCGAACAGATAATGGTGATCGTCTGCTGCAACTGTGCTCAGACAATCGTTTATTTTTAGCAAACACAAATTTTAAGCATAAGGAGAGACATCGTCTAACATGGCGACCCCCTGCACCAAACCAACGATGGACTCAAATAGACCATATTGCCATCAGTCATCGTTGGAGAGGGTCAATAGAAGATTGTCGCTCATTCTGGGGTACCTGCTTGGACTCTGATCATGCCCTAGTACGAGCACGCATCTGCTTGCGCCTCACTGGACGCAAAAGAGCCACACAAAAAAGACTCATTAGAACTGAATTGAGTAATGAGAAAGCCAAAAGTAGGTTCCAGGAACAACTGAGGTCACACTTAGGTAGTTCTGAAAACGAGACTGACCCAGATGTTGCTTGGAAATTTATACAAGCAGCTGTGGAAACAGCAGTGACATCTACCAGTGATTTAAACCAAATGGTTACAAAAAACCAATGGATTTCGTCAAGGTCTATTGCACTGATAGATTCTCGCAAACTCATCCCATCAGGTTTTGAATACGATGAAGAGCGTAAAGAAATCAAATCTAGATTAAGCAAAAGTCTAAGGAATGATCGTGAGCAGTGGTGGGCAACGAAAGCAAAAGAGATGGAAAAGGCGGCGGCTATAGGGAACACAAGACAACTCTACAGACTAATAAAAGAAACTGGAATTAATAAGTCAAGGGTAAGTGTGACTATCTCGGAAAAAGACGACGTTCTTATCTGCTTCCAGTCCAGACGCTTAGAACGATGGGCGGAACACTTTAAGGAGCAGTTTAGCTGGCCTTCAGCTACTCTACAACTACCCTCTATTCCCAGACAGTGTGAATGGAACATTGAAGTAGGTCCCCCAACTCTACCTGAAGTTCAAAAGGCTATAGCTAATCTGAAACGAGGAAGGGCAGCTGGTCCAGATGGATTGGCCCCAGAGGTCTTTAAGGATGGTGGTCTAGTCTTAGCGATTAGGTTGACTAATATTTTAGCTAAAATCTGGGAGTTAGACGTTATTCCATCTAACTGGTCACAATCACTTATCGTCCCAATATTTAAGAAAGGGTCAAAATCATCCTGTGACAACCACAGAGGGATTAGTTTGACTAATATAGTATCTAAAATACTAGTTTCGATAATTTTCGGACGCCTAACTAAGACTCGTGAACTGCAAACACGTGAAAATCAGGCTGGCTTCAGACCTGGTCGTGGCTGCATCGACCACATATTCACCATTCGTCAGGTTCTAGAACACAGGCATACTTATCGGCGTCCGACAATGGTGGTATTCCTTGACTTAAAAGCAGCGTTTGACTCTGTTGACCGAGAGGTTCTGTGGCAGTGTCTGACATTGAAAGGCGTACCTCAGAAGTACATAAACCTTGTGAAGGCTCTTTACTCGAACACTACTAGTCGGGTCAGAGCCTATGGCGAACTGTCATCTGCTTTTGCAACCTCAAGTGGCGTCCGTCAAGGCTGTCCACTTTCTCCTTTTTTGTTTAACTTTATCATAGACCTCCTGATGGAAAAAACGCTCTCATCGACTGAATTCTCGGGTATTGATCTCCTACATGGAGGTCCACTTATTGACTTAGAATACGCAGATGACATAGTCCTGTTTGGTGAAGACGCTGATGAAATGCAGAGTCTTTTGGTAGCACTGAGCAACAATGCTAGAATGTTTGGGATGCGCTTTTCTCCCTCTAAATGCAAGTTGTTGCTTCAGGACTGGTCTGCATCAACACCTGAACTAAGGATAGGGGGTGAAGTAGTCGAACGCGTTGACAACTTCACTTATCTTGGAAGTCTGATCAGCCCTAATGGGTTGGTGTCTGACGAAATCTCAGCACGGATTCGAAAAGCTCGCTTGGCCTTTGCCAACTTACGTCATCTATGGCGAAGGCGAGATATTCGTCTATCAATTAAGGGACGAGTATACTGCGCGGCGGTTCGTTCCATTCTACTATACGGCTGCGAAACATGGCCTTTAAGAGTGGAAGATATTCGTAAGTTACTAGAATTTGACCACAGGTGCCTTAGAAATATTGCGGGTATCTGCTGGGATCACCGGGTAAGTAATAGTGAGGTTAGACGCAGGGTATTAGGAGATGATGGTAAATCAGTTGATGAGGTTATGAGTCTTCATCGACTGAGATGGTTGGGCCACGTGTTGCGTATGCTTGAACACCGATTACCACGACGCGCAATGCTGACTAGTGCAGGGGATAATTGGAAGAAAGTTAGGGGTGGCCAAACCAAAACGTGGCATCAGTGCTTGAAGTCACTAACTTCTGGTCTGAGCCATGTTGGTAGATGCAGACTACTTGGTTAGGGTCCGCGTGACTATCGTAACCAATGGTTGGAGACTCTTGGTGACATGGCTCAGAATCGATCACAATGGCGTCGGTGTATACACTCTCTGTCTTCCTTAAATTAAGAGATTAAAATCGCTTCATATCTGTCTAGGAACTAATTCTTTCTTCCTTTACTATCTCCTTATACACAATCTTTCTTCTATATATTACCACCACTGAATTAACTACTCCTATGAATCCGGTGTTCATCTTGTTGTGCTAATGCGGTATGGCAACTTGGACCGATACATATACGTGCCTGGTCCTACGTTTCATCTGACTGACTGACTGACTGTGAAGTGGTCGGTTTTGAGTCGTTTTTCATGTCTTATGTCCTGAGCTAGAAAGACTACTCCAACTAATTCAGATCAAAGTGTGTTAACTATGAAGTGGATTGAATTACCTCGTTGTTGATATTTCGACTGAAATTCGACCAGTCTTGATTGGCATATATGCATGTTTTGCGAATGGCCTCGATATAAGTATTATGATACAAGTTAGTGTAGAATATATGGAATTTGGCTAGCAGTGGAATATAGGACGTGTGTTTCGTCCTATTCGGTACATCCAAATAACGATTGTCATAATGATTATATCGCGGTAATCCGCAAAAAATGCACATATGTCGACCAAGAGTGATCGAATTTCAGTAAAATCATCAACAACAGGATAATCCAATCCATTTAAAACTCATACCCGTTACACGAGTGACTGGCTATTTGGTTTTAGTAGCTAAGTGGATAATGCGATGTTTAAAGCGAACGATACTAGATTCGAGTCCCGGAGTAAACATCGACTATGGGATACAGGTAAATCCCTCCGATGAGTCCCAAATAATACAAAACACACCTGAATTCCACTGCCAGCCACATTTTATATGTTTTATACTTTTTCACTGACCATAGATTTATGCCTCTTTTATTCCACTCTAATTGTAGCCAATATTACAACCTATGTCTACTGCCTATCTAAATTCGTAGCGCTTGTCTCAGGCATCACAGTTAGTACGAATCTTCAGATCTTGCTCAGGAGTCAATACTGAATTTCGAAATGGCTCTGTTAGCGTTTTGACAACATACTATGTTTCCAAGAATAACAACATGATATAATAGAGGAACTTGTTATCCGGTTTGAGTTACGTGGAATTTTAGGGGATTTAATACTGTGTGACTATTGGTTTGTTACATAGGCTTCCGAACTTCTGCAGGTATAGCTAAATTCGAGTCCCTGGTCGAGGGAATAAAGTTAAATTGTCCAAACCAATTCCAAAAATACTTAAAATAGGGTGACGATAGTTGTATGTTGTCTACCGTGGCCCGATGTGTCTCAAAGGTCTCCTCTCTAGTAGACCGTGCAGAGTGAAGTGGCTTTGTTTTATTTATTTATTTATTTTAACACATAGATATTGGTACAAGGAGGCACCAACTACATATGCGCCACACAAATCTCATTTAATTTGTGTGAGGGCTGTGATACTGCCCGGGTGCCCAAACCGAAGCAGGTGGTTTTCTTAGGGGGCCACACCCCGAGCCTTTGACCTAAAGGTCTAGTCCACAAGGCAGTGGAGCATGATGAGGAGATGCAGTCCCATGGTTGCCGGTGACCAACGATTGGTTCATACGCCATTTGTTCCTTCAGGATACTGGAGCCCATGTGCACCATTGGTTCGGGATCCGGTTAAAGCGCCGGACATTCGCTTTTCGTCCTCTCATTTTCGTAAACAACACCCCCGCCACGAGAAGGCAGTGAGTAGGACTTCCCTGGCAGAGGCTATATACGCGTGGCCATGTGAGAGCATTTCGAGAGGGAGAGCGGACTCTCCCCACTCTCGGCCGTACCAGGGCATTTGGGGGTAAGTGGCTTTGTTGCGTGCATTAAATTTATAAAATAGAAGTGGAACAGATTCATTCACTATTTATCTTCCTTTGACTCCTAAATTCCGAAATTATCTTATAGATTTTTTTATTCCACGAATTTTTCTTGTTGAATTGTATCTCCGATGCTTAATCTCTCCTGTTACAACTAGTGCTGTTACTATCTCTATTGATTTGAAATTTTCCCTGGCCATTCCGTCTCGCTATGCTGTGGCAATTTGAAACGATGCATACATGTACCAGATTCTATGTTGCATGTGACTGACTGTTTAAGTAACAGTGGATAAAATTTAAATAAAAACTAAAGTTTGAATGCAAAATGCTAGATGACTAACTATTGTCATGAATAGAGAGCAATAGTCTTATGTCCCTTAATGTGATCGTGTGAACAATTTAAAATAGACCATTAGCGTTTTTGACTATCTTTTCAGTAGTTTTGCATCGTATAATAGGATATTTAAGTCTTATAGTTACCTACAAGATTTCATTCAATGTTAATCAGTTGATAGTGTTTGAAATAAGCATTGAACCGCATTAAATATAAGCTAGAAATATATTTTATAGCCGTCTCGTCACAAATGGTGTTCACTTCCACTTTTGAAATGACAAGGTCCCTACATTCTCAAAAACTTGAGATAAAAATAACTGTTTAATCTCACGTTTCGTTGCTTAATAACATTTCATCAATATACTTGTATATATGACTATGCCTGTCTTGTTACTTAAAAGATGAATTTTTGTAATTTAAAGGAAGATTTGGATTCTTTGACGTATGACTTTTTTGTGGGCGATGTTCAAATTTTGGATGATTTAAAAACAGCTTTAATTCAAGCACGAGCCAAAGGCACTGATGCTTCTTTACCGAAATTTGGATCAACTGGTCTTGAAGCTGTAGTCAAAGTCACGTATCAGGCTCAGGCTGTTTTTCGAGTTCGCCCAGTTACTCGTTGTTCAAGTAGTATACCAGGTCATAAGGGTGCAGTTCTGGTTGCGCAATTTTCACCAGACGGAAGGTAATTGCAAATTTTATCAATATTATTGACGTTTTTAACGATCATTTTCTTGCTTGTCCTAAAATAAACCTTTCTGTCTATAATCTCTGTAATTAAGTTTGCGCTCGATGCCTTGTGATATATAGGTGAAATGTTCCTTTTATTTGTCTAACTGTTAAGAAGTAAGATAGGAAACTTGATACATCTGGAAGAATGGAGTAGTAACTCCCAGAACCAATATACGGATCATTATTATGTATATTATTATTGTACAACTGTTGAGCAACCAGATTACTGTGTCTATATATTCAGGTTATCCCAAGGTTTCAGTTAACCCATCACTATTCACAGTTTATTGCCCCGAAATGCCCTGGTGCGACCGAGGGTGGTGAGAGTCCGCTCTCTCAAAATAATCTCATACGGCCACTGGCATGGAAGTCCTCCTCATCACCTTATTGCCGCGGTGTTGTTTACGAAATCGAGAGGAAGAAAAGCGAATGTTCGGCACTTAAACTGAGTTATTGGGTACGAAGGATCCACATAAAAGAGTTGCGGAACCTTGGTTCCAAACCAATGGTGCACAAGGGCTCTACGGTCCTGAGGGAACAAATGGCGTATAAACATATTGTTGGTCACCGGCTACCAAGGGATTACATCTCCACTACCCTTTAGATTAGACCTCTAGGTCAAAGCCTTGGGGATTGATCTATTCGGTCCACCATTAACATAGATGTTGGTACAAGGAGGCACCAAATACATATGCGCCACACAGATCTCATTTGATATGTGTGAGGGCTGTGATACTGCCCGGGTGCCCAAACCCATTAGCAGTCGGCTATGTGCTGTTAGATCAGAAATTTCCATCAAAGTGAGAAGAAATCGGTTTGAGAAACAATGTATTTTCGCCATCTGCACCTACGTTCCGATAGATTACAGTCTAGATGCGATCAAGGATGAGTTTTATCACCAGCTAACAGTTCTACAGAAAGTACGTTCGACAGATATTGTAGTACTAACCGGAGACTTGAATGCTCAAGTCTGGCGTCCAGGCACAGAAGAGAGTCGTTTAGGTGGCCGATGGGTTGGTCGCAGTTCAGATAACGGTGATCGTCTACTGCAATTGTGCTCAAACTACAACCTGTTTCTGGATAGCACTAACTACTGGCACAGCCATCGTCCATGTGCTACCTGGCGTCCTACCTCCTCATCTCAAGCCTGGACTCAGACTGATCACATCGCAATCAGCTACCACTGGCGTGGTTGTGTACAAGACTGTCTCTCCTTTTAGGGTACAAATCTGGACTCTGACCATCCTCTTGTTTTCGCTAATCTTAACTTACGTTTCAATAGCCAACAGATTCATTGTCATAAAGGGATCGATGTCAGTAAACCGGTTGCAGCTTCTGTTGCAACTAAGTATCATACCGAGCTAGGTTAAAGGTTCACTACCAACCCACCGAAAATTATAGATGAACATTGGTTGCAATTGCATGGCGCCATGAAAATGGAGAGTGAAGTCGCTTACGGCTTCGCAAAACGTCCCGCTTATAAGCACTGGGTTTTTTCAGGCTCCTTACAACTCATCGAGCCCCGTCGGTCTACTCCGGGTGACCACAAGTTTGACCACAAACGAAGACTGTTGCTCGATGAAACTGCAAAGCTTGAGTAAGGACCAAGAAGCTTGGTGATCTGAGCGTCCCGATAAGTTGGAAGCAGCAGCCGCATCTGGTAACTACCAGAAGCTCTTCCTGCTCATCCGAATCACTGTCAGCAAGAAGTCTGGTGTGAGTGAAACAATCTGTGAAGCTGACGAGATGCCAATCACTTACATCTGCCAACGTCTTGGACAATGGAAAGAGTTTTTTGAGGTACGGTTTAACTGGTCTGCTGCTCCGACAATATCGATCAGACTGTCCTGCACTCCATGGCCCATGACGACATTCAAATAATTCCAACGTCTGAAGCGCCGCAAATCACTCCCAGATGACTTATCTCCGGCCCATTTTAAAGATGGTGGCAACTTTCTGGTTATGGAACTGACTGAGTTATTTACAAAGGTCTGGCAGTTATAGAGTGTTCCAACATCATGGAATGGGTCGATAATTGTTCCTGTCTTTAAAAAGGGTTCACTTCGCTTCCGCAACAAGTATCAGGGGATGTTTACTTCCGATTGCATCCAAACTACTGGCTTCCGTCATACTTCGTAGATTGCTCAAAACCCGAGGAAGATGGACTCGCGAGTAGCAGGCTGGTTTCCGTCCTGGTCAAGGATGTATTAATCATGTCTTCACCCTCTGTCGAATGTTAGAACACCGTCATACTTATCGCATGCCAATGATCGTAATGTTTCTTGACATTAGGGCCGCCTTCGATTTGTGGAACAGTATTGTTCTTTGGGAATTTCTATTAAAGTGTGTGCCTGAAAAGTTTATTAACATCTTGAAAGCCTCAGGCAGAGTGAGGGCATACAACCATCTCTCTATTTTCCATTCAAGCGGTGGGGTTAGACAGGGTTGTCCAATCTCACCATACCTCTTCAACTTTGCTCTCGATGACGTTCTGGAAATAGCTCTGATATATGTAGGTAATGGCGGTGTGGACCTGTTGCCTGAGAAAGACTTTTCGACCTGGAGTATGCGGATGATGTCTTACTGTGTGATGATACCCAAGTCGTGCGGTCCGCACTTAATTAGTTGACGTGTCCGTTGTAGGATTTTATTTGTCCTACAGATATTCTACTGGAACTGTAAACGCGATACTGACGACCCAGAGTCTATGTGAAAGCTATAGTCAGAACAAGGACAACTCCGCTTTAAACTTTATCTGTTTCTAAACGTAAAAACAACTCGATTAGTACAATAATTAAAGGAATTATGATCATCTAGTGAAATACACAAACATACCGACCAGTATTGAGTGTCTTATCGGAATGAATAAAAATTATGTCACACTAATGTAATAGAATAATAATGTCTTTTAATTGGTAGGTCACATGCAAAAGAGGTAGTCTACAGACACATCAGACCAGTGGTAACCCATGTTAGCAATCCAGAGGTTCGACATCGTGTGTTTGGGCACAGCTAGGATAATTCAGTTGGTTTCACTATCTTCAAACACCAACTTTGGTCTCTTGGTCTACTATGAATGTCGTCCCAGAGAATTTCACATTGTGAATTATTTTCCGACACTGAGACCGGTCTAAAAAAGCGAAGTGGTCAGTGTATGACATGGTGTCGTGGTATGAAAGAAAGCTATGCAGGACTGGCTTATGTTGGTTCTTTCATGGCTCCCTGGTCGGTGTCATAGAGGTGGTGCAACACAGCGACTAGAGACGTTTTCAGACATGTCTTTAACTAAAGGAATTCTTTCCGGTTGTATCTTTGCTAACTGAACTGTTTCTTTATTATTATTATTATTATTATTATTATTATTATTATTATTATTATTATTATTATTATTATTTCACTGTCATACACTAATTTTCGTTCGTCGTTGTTCATTTTTATTATACACACTCTAAATTCTTTACCTCTTCAGAACTTCATTGTTATTGTGTAGTGCATATATATTTGGTGCCCACTTGTGCCACTGTTTATGTGTTCAAATAAATAAATAAAAATTATTGACATTGGTCTTCCTTTTGTATACTATCTTTTGTTCCTTAAACAAAGCCTAGGATAGATTGATTTTATTAAGAGGCAGTTTTCGAAACTACAAATTAGTTTTGAGAAAATTTTGGACTACAAACACCAAGTTTAGTATTTCGCTCTCACTTATGTACTGACTATCATCAATATGGAACTAGCTTAATAGTTGAAACACTTTATCTTATTTTAAGTTCTATCTCAACTCCATATAAAACTGGTTGGAGAACCAGGTATTATAAATAACTCTTACTTGAAGGCGAGACTGAGAATCTAGTACATCGGTATGTAATTGTTTAATAAGTTACACTTACTAGTTATTGCTGGACAGTAGGGTTATTGAGTTAGTTTCTTTGTTAGAAAGCCATTACATTTGTCCCTGACTGTGTGTTTAACTGTTCTTATTTTTACCATTATATTTGAAACAAAGCATTCGTATTGAGACCTGTTTCCACCCTTCATTTAGGTCTTATATTTAATAAATATGTAAGACAATCCTTAGGGACTGTTATTCTTGCTAATTGGATTATTTTATCGTGTATGTCCTAATTGATAATTCACAACACTGTTAAAAGTATACAAATGTACGCCTCATTTTAATCTCATTTCAGAAGTTTAGCTAGTGGCTCTGGAGATCAAACTGTTCGTTTCTGGGATCTCAACACTGAATTACCTCTTAGTACAGGATCGGAAGTGCACAGAGCTCCTGTTCTCTGTTTGGCTTGGTCTCCAGATGCAGTACGGTTGGCATCTGGGTGTCAAGGTGGTATGATTTGTTTGTGGCAGCAAAAAGAAACCGGCAATGATTGGGGTCTATGCTCCACCCATCCTTTAATTAAACCTCAATTAGCAGCCACTCCGGCTTGTTCTAAAGGACGGTGGATACGATCTTTATCGTGGAGACCATTACATCTGTAAGTCACTACCTGTTACGTGTTATTTATATCTTTTTTACACTTATTAAACACATGGTAAGTTATGATTGCAGGTCAAGTACACCGCTCAGCACCTCAACTTATATTCCTTTGTGGTTGTGAAAATGTTTTTTAGGGTAGAAGACCGGTAATTCATTTTATTTATTTATTTCAACACATAGATATTGGTACAAGGAGGCACCAACTACATATGCGCCACACAAATCTCATTTAATTTGTGTGAGGGCTGTGATACTGCCCGGGTGCCCAAACCGAAGCAGGTGGTTTTCTTAGGGGGCCACACCCCGAGCCTTCGACCTGAAGGTCTGATCCACAAGGCAGTGGAGCATCGTAAGGAGATGCAGTCCCATGGTAGCCGGTGACCAACGATTGGTTCATACGCCATTTGTTCCTTCAGGATACTGGAGCCCATGTGCACCATTGGTTCGGGATCCGGTTAAAGCGCCGGACATTCGCTTTTCGTCCTCTCATTTTCGTAAACAACACCCCCGTCACGAGAAGGCAGTGAGTAGGACTTCCCTGGCAGAGGCTATATACGCGTGGCCATGTGAGAGCATTTCGAGAGGGAGAGCGGACTCTCCCCACTCTCGGCCATACCAGGGCATTTGAAGGCAGAAGACCAGTAATGGTTACTATTGTTATGTTGGTAGGATTAAGATATCACTTAGAACCGGCGAAAAGAACGCAAGTCAGCAACACAACAAACGCGGATAAATACTACATTCTGTACGAGGCTTCTGTATTGTTTGATCAATGCGTGGGCTGTCCAATTCGATCTGAAATTTCCGAGAGATAATGGTAATATCTGATGTTGTATCTATATGTAATCTAAATGAATACCCATTAGTATTGAGTGTAATGAATTTTCTCTCTCCTGGGGTTCTCTGACAGGATGCTAATAGGTTCAACGAATTTGTGCAGGATTCGGAAGTAGACTTTCTAATACTTCTGGACCGATGTGGTGGTCGATTTGGTTTCCATTTTTAACAGAATCCATTTTTGTATCCAATGGATTTACATTTCCTTCAGCGATGTTGTTTGAACGGACACGTTCGTGCAAAATGTCACGCACCACAGTGCCAGCAAGGAGTCGAAGGACTAGTCTTCGTTAGTTGAACTGAGATCGGGTAAGATGGGCTAGGTATAGCAGGCTCGTATTTGGCAGGTTTGGATATTTTTTGGAGTACATGTACTTCAGTGCAATCAGAACCACCACACTGAACCACTGTAGTGTGTTTCTGAATATTAATTAGACTTTGATATTCATCTTAAATATCACAAAGAGTAATTTTCGTATCTGCCAACATCTGGATAAGTTTTAACTGCTGCTTCAGTTATGGTTCCACTTTTACAGTATCCATTCTTTCACCAGCTTCGTCGCCATAACTATATTTGAGGGATTAAGATATCACCAATGACCGGAGAATGGAACGAAAGCTAGGACAACAACCAGTATTTGATCATATATTTTCTTAGAACGTTGTTGCCATATGATTATGGTGAAATGTTTAGAGATGATATGTAGTTGGTGAAATTAGAGCAAACGTAAGTGTGTTTTTAGTTTCAACCGAGTATTTCAATCCTCAATTGTTTGAACTACATAGTCGAAGGTATATATTAATATTTATAAGTAATAATCTCTTCATAGAGCCATTCTGCCAGTTTATTTCACACTAATATTTTTTTCATCTAGAGATGGAGAATGCAGACAACTTGCAGTTGCTTATCAAGATTGTTCAATAGTTATTTGGGATACGTATACTGGCCAGCCAATTCATACAATTACTGGTCATGATAAACCAGTTGTGTCTGTACGTTGGGGTGGAACAGATTTAATTTATTCTGCTAGTCAGGACCGTACAATTCGTGTATGGAGATCTAAAGATGGTGTGTTATGTCGTACATTAAATTTGCATGGACATTGGGTAAATTGTTTGGCATTGAGTACTGATTATGTACTACGTACTGGTGCATTTGATCCTGCCTGTGCTCAGTTAGTCAAAACAGTTCCTGTATTATCAAAAGATCCAGAGGCTAGTAAGTATGTTATGACTTCCAACAATCTAAGGAGTATTTTTCATTGTTATGTAAATTGAGATTTGTAATTTTCAGTGTAATTCGAATGATACTTTCTGAGAATTATACATCGAAACACACCTAAAGATAAAATACTACATGTAAACCAAGACGATGAACGACGACTACAAATTTTCCCCATCGCTTTAGAAGCAATGTTATATGCGTCTCATCAATCATGTTACTGAAAACCAAGGAACAGTGGTACGTTAATGGAGTCAGCAAAGAAAGAGAACCGCAAATCTTGCGAACAAAAGCGTATGGAGAAATTATTACTTAGGTGTAAAAATAATTTGCAACCTCAAGTGGAGTCCGTCAAGGCTGTCCACTTTCTCCTTTTTTGTTTAACTTTATCATAGACCTCCTGATGGAAAAAACGCTCTCATCGACTGAATTCTCGGGTATTGATCTCCTACATGGAGGTCCACTTATTGACTTAGAATACGCAGATGACATAGTCCTGTTTGGTGAAGACACTGATGAAATGCAGAGTCTTTTGGTAGCACTGAGCAACAATGCCAGAATGTTTGGGATGCGCTTCTCTCTCTCTAAATGCAAGTTGTTGCTTCAGGACTGGTCTGCGTCAACACCTGAACTAAGGATAGGGGGTGAAGTAGTCGAACGCGTTGACAACTTCACTTATCTTGGAAGTCTGATCAGCCCTAATGGGTTGGTGTCTGACGAAATCTCAGCACGGATTCGAAAAGCTCGCTTGGCCTTTGCCAACTTACGTCATCTATGGCGAAGACGAGATTTTCGTCTATCAATTAAGGGACGAGTATACTGCGCGGCGGTTCGTTCCATTCTACTATACGGCTGCGAAACATGGCCTTTAAGAGTGGAAGATATTCGTAAGGTACTAGAATTTGACCACAGGTGCCTTAGAAATATTGCGGGTATCTGCTGGGATCACCGGGTAAGTAATAGTGAGGTTAGACGTATGGTATTAGATGATGGTAAATCAGTTGATGAGGTTATGAATCTTCATCGACTGAGATGGTTGGGCCACGTGCTGCGTATGCCTGAACACCGATTACCACGACGCGCAATGCTCACTAGTGCAGGGGATAATTGGAAGAAAGTTAGGGGCGGCCAAACCAAAATGTGGCATCAGTGCTTGAAGACACTAACTTGTGGTTTGAGCCATGTTGTTAGATGCAGACTACTTGGTTGGGGTCCGCGTGACTATCGTAACCAATGGTTGGAGACTCTTGGTGACATGGCTCAGAATCGATCACAATGGCGTCGGTGTATACACTCTCTGTCTTCCCTTAAACTAAGAGATTAAAATCGCTTCATATCTGTCTAGGAACTAATTCTTTCTTCCTGTATTATATCCTTATACATAATCTTTCTTTTATATATTACCACCATTGAATCAACTACTTCTATGAATTTGGTGTTCATCGTGTTGTGCTAATGCGGTATGGCAACTTGGACCGATGCATATATGTGCCTGGTCCTACGTTGCAGCTGACTGACTGATTGACTAAAAACCAAGATTCTGACTTATACTTCTGGTACTTAGATGCTTAACACTGTCTGTTAACCACTTCTTAGTTCCTCAGAAATTGACTCCTTAGTCCTGAACAGAAGACAAAAGGTGGAAGTATGCAGGTCAAATTTAATTAGAAAAGTAGTTTAGATACATAAAACAAGCACATTTTTATGTTTATGTTTGACGTTTATATCCTAGTAGCTTTTGGAAACATGCTAGACTTGGTAACAAAATTGTCGATTATCCAGTCAGGATGCGATACAGTTATTACTTTCCAGAACTCTAATTAGATAAAGTATTTTCAGTCTTTTCCAAGCTTTTAAAAACTTTTCTGAAGGATTCTCAAAGCTCCGTCGCACTGATTTGATGGATTTTACAAACATATGATATACTCTGTTAGGAATCAGAAACTTAACATTTTATGTGAATTGGCCAGAATTAGAGTAAATTTATATGTTTCTTATCCATTTCTGTATTGTTGAGAACTTTAAAAACTTGAAGACGATATACTTCTACATACGATTATGACTTATTCTATTCGTATTTCGTCCATTTAGCAGTATTAAGCTTTCGGAAGCCTTAAACAACCACTCCAGTCATCGTTTAACACTTCTCAAAAGTCGGTTTTGTTGTATTCTTTTCTACGTCACTAGCAATAAATCTAGTAACTCTTATAATATTCGTTGCATGATCGGCAGGCTATTCAAGTCCCCATACCATCAAACCTCCAATTAAAGTACCAGAAAGCCAGCTAGATGGTCAAAAATGCTTATATTATTTCGGTTATATAAGTATAATACAAGACCACAACTTATCACAATTTATCAACCGAGATTGGTACATAACTAAGTTGTTTTTTGATAACATCCCGAATATCATGTTTAAAGTTGTAATTTCTAAACGATAAAACATGTAGAAGCAATAGGTCAGTGAAATTGAGCTTACTGTTAGAACTATTTTAGAAGTAGTACAGAAAAACTGTTAATACCCTATACAACCGTACAAACTAATTCATCAAAAGAGTAGCTACCAGAGTTTTATATTTCTATCTCTTTGCATTTTGCTAACGGGTTACTGTCTTCTATGAATCGAAATCCTCTGATTAACACCTAATAACCTTAAGTTATTGACAGTCTTATTCTAATATCACTAATCAATACTTATACATGTTCCTAAGTGTAATTAATTAGCTTCTCTGTTTGATAAGTATTCGCATTGTTATATGACATATGTTTCGTTTATTTGGATAATAACAATCAAAATTTCCACTTGTTTATTTTGATCTTTTCCAGAGTTGAAGTTGGCTGAAACAGCAAAATCACTATATGAAAAAGTTAAGGTAACTTCCCTTAAAAAGAGAAATATTTTGTGTACTCTAAGCAATATTTTGGATACCCGGAGTAATTGTTGATATTTGTGTTTTTGTGTATATAATTTTCCATTTCCCATATTTACTGTAAGGGGCTATGAAAATTCCATTTTCATTTGGTCAATCTTGATTTGTTTATTTTTCTGTAGGTTGATAAATTTACTGCAGAAGTTTACAAGCCTAGCTAAATGGGTTGTATATGCAGCACAGCTGCTTGAATTTGTTTCAGGTTGACAATTGAAGTAATGCTATGATCGTTATCTCGATTCATGTAAGGCATTGTGGTTTTCTTAGTTATGGTTTGTAAAACAATAAAAAACAAATAGATAAATAGGTATTAGAGCTCAAAATGAGTTGTCATTGTATCACAAATGTATTTTTAATCTTTCGCCTTTTAATTGTAACTATCATTGTCACAACTCTTTATCTTGGCCTGTTTTCTGTATTCTTAATTCCCCATTCGTTTGTTCATTTGAAATTGGTCTCAAAGGTAAGATATATTAGGCAATCTAAACTACCACGTTAAACCATCGACTACAATGACAATTTACATGTTCATAGTTACTAAAAATAATGTTCAAACGATAAAAATAGACAGGTGTGGATTTTCGACGCGTAACATACGGTAAGAATTACTTTAATTCTATCTGTCAAATCAGCTCAGGCAAAATAAGTTCACTAATTTCGCTTCCCCACCAGAGTATTCATTAAGTAAGGTTTCCCATTGTTTGCTACATACTGAGTGACTTAGTGTAAGATTATAGATTGTTATCCCTATCTGTGGGAAAGGTAGATCTTTGCTAATATATTAATATTTCTGCTTAATGTAGGGTTCTAATCCTGAGAGATTGGTTGCAGGATCCGATGACAATACACTTTCTTTATGGCAACCAGAAATCGATAAAAAACCACTTGCTCCCCGTATGACTGGTCATCAAGGAGTTGTGAACGATGTGAAGTTCTCTCCAAATGGTCGTCTTCTTGCTAGTGCTAGTTTTGATCATTCTGTCAAAATTTGGGATGGTTTTACAGGACAGTGAGTATTTTCTTGATACAATCATTGTTAAATAAAATCTTGAAATGTGTATAGTTGGTAAATGGTAACCACAATCCGAGTGTCTCATTTATTTGAATGTAGGTAAGGAATACTCAACTTTTTTTGGCTAGAATGGGGCTTAAACTCATAAATACTTGATCAGACCTCCAATTCTACAACAAATGTACTACAGTTAGAATTGTCATCTAGAAACGACCACTGATCTTGTTGTGCTTATGTGGTGTGATAATTTGAACCGTTGGACAAACATTCTTTGTTCTAAGCTAGTTTGGACTGGCTTACACTGCTTCTAGGTAGGAAATCCACAGACTCATTCAGTTTATAACATTGTAATATCGAGTGAAGAATGGTTTGTTTAAGTTTGCATAATTTGATTAATCAAGATTCGTCGATCAGTATCCTGGAAATCATGAAACTGAATAGTTTATGATGTTATCGGATACCGTTGAAAACAAAATCCATTGGCGGTCCTACTCTGTTATGTTTTTAATAAATACTCAGATGACCAAAATACATCCAGATTGTATTTTTATCAATATTGTACAGTTCAATGTTGAATCATATGTTTTTTTCTACCGTATTTTTTCCTGTCAAGTTATTTTTTATCGTAGACTGAGCATATGATCCAATTTAATGCATTATTACCTTCAATATATGATTATCGTATTATCATATCATATTTTAGATTTTTAGCTACTATGTTCGGTCATGTTCAAGATGTGTATCTAGTCTCTTGGTCAGGTGACAGTCGTCTAGTTGTATCTTGTTCTAAAGATTCAACAGTGAAAGTATGGTCCGTTAATGAAGTTCGTCGCTGGAATCAAGAATCTGTCACAGTATCTAAAGAAGAAAAGAAAAAACAAATATTTGCTAGTGATGTAGCCGGTAAGAAACGACCCAGTTCATCATCGTCATCAATACACCAACGTAAACGCCATTTGCTACATGATTTACCTGGACATTCAGATGCAGTTTATGCATTAGACTGGAGTCCTGATGGACAATATGTTGTTTCAGGTGGTAAAGATCGAATATTGAAATTGTGAGTTTTAATTAGCAATACGTTTTAGAAATAAGATAGTTTTCGTCACGAATAACAGTAAGCAGATATATTTTTTATTTACATACAAAAATATTAAGTGGTTGTATTCCCCTCATGTAAATTGATATCTATCTTTATCTCCTAATGTTTGAAAGTTTTAATTTCAGCTTTATCATGTATTTCATCAGTTAAGTTAACTAGCCTATGTCTCATTTTATCTCATTCTTAGCGAATACGAATGTACTTACTTACGCCTCTTACTCCTCGTGGAGGAGTATAGGCCACCCACCATCATCCTCCATCCAACTGTTTCCGGGACTGTGCTTTCCAGTTGCTATTCATCCTTTTCATGTCCGCTTCCAATTTCCGACGTAATGTGTTGTTCGGCCTTCCTTTTTCCCGTTTCCCTTCAGGATTCCAAGTTAACGCTTGCCTCGTGATGCAGTTTGGTGATTTCTGAAATGTATGTTCTATCCACTTCCAACGTCTTTTCCTAGTTTTCTCCTCAGCTCGAAGCTGGTTTGTTCTCTCCTACAATAGGCTGTTATTGGTGGTATTCGGTGAACAGATATTGAGTATCTTGTGTAGACAATTGTTTATAAATACTTGCACGTTTACTATGATGGTTGTGGTAGTTTTGTAAGTTTCAGCTCCGTACGGTAGAACTGTCTTGACGTTCGTATTGAATTTTGTAACTTTGATATTGGTTGACAATTGCTTGGAACTCCATATGTTGTTCAACTGTAGGAATGCTGTCCTTACCTTCATGTGTGCACCTGATCCTCCTTGTTAATCGAGTATGCTGTCCAGCTACATGAAAGTTTCCACTTCTTCTAGAGCTTCTCCATCAAGTGTAATAGGGTTGGTGCTCACTGTGTTGTATTCAAGGATATTGCTTTTTCCGTTGTGTATGTTGAAGCCTACTGATGCAGAGGCTGTGATAAGAATGTGTGAGATAACAATTCTCCACAGTTTTATGCTATGTGTTGTCTACTGATATTTGTAAAGCTTGGTGAAATCTAAGTTACTGAGATGGGGAAGAAATTATGTTGGATCATCTGTTCATATGGCTCAGTGTAGTTTATTGATTTATTATCGTGTTAAACCGTACACGAAATCGTACTAATCTGGTAAAAAGCGATATACTTTACATGCATATTTCATCTACTAAGGTTGTGATAATCGTTTTCATTCGATTCTAAATAAATGCACCCAAAGAGTCACTCTTGCCGTGAATTCTTACACTTCATTAGATTTTTTAAAATATTTCGTTCAATCACATAGAAATAGTAATCAGTGGTATTTTTCATAAACGCATTTTTATGTAAATGTTAATACCTCCCTTTTTAGAATGATTGTTATCAATAGCTATCGTTTGTATAAAACTGAAGCATCTCATTACTGAGATCAGTTAGTGGTTATGCTTTTCGAAAAATTCTATTTAATTGCGGTAAACATCTATAATTTTGTAATCTACATCACTAACTGAAGACCGGAAAGCACTGAACAGCTTTTCGTCCTAGTATGAAACTCCTCAGCGTCGTATATCGACTATCACACTAAAGGTCAAATCCATGACCTACGAGTCTGACAACAAGCGCTTAACTCCGAAGCTAGTGTTCTTAGATTCAATGACTCACATCTCATGGATGTGCATTGTTGAGAAGTCTCATGATAAGATGAAACAGTTGTTGAATGATTCGTGGCTTTTCAATAGTTTCTTTCTAACTATTATTGGTTTGTGATGTAAACTATCAAATCAAACTAATCTCCCTAAATATCATACCGTTGGTTAACTTAATTAACGGGGAATATTTTCGATTTTCGTTTTTGTTTCCCCCTACTGTCAATAATTCACTTGTTTTCCTTTCTGTTTCAGATGGCGAGCGTAAAAAGTATCAGAACATTATTTTATATTCTTTGCAAATATCATTGAAAATTTGATTTTTGCCACCATGTTGACGGTAATTTTCTAAAATAATTTCCTATTTGTAGATATAAACATGTACATGAAAAGAATTAATAAATAAAATATATTACAGTGGTTAGCAGTTATGTGTTTTTTTCTCTTCATTAATATTTTTCCCAAACAAATTTCTGTATTATCTCCATTAGAGAATTGTTTCTGTACACTTAATTTTAAATAATTCAGTCGTGAATTACATGCTCAGCTTATCTGGCCGTGACTTAGATATGGCCCCCAAATGCCCTGGTACGGCCAAGAGGGTGGAGAGTCAACCCTCCCTCTCGAAATGCTCTCACATAGCCACGTGCTTACAACCACTGATAGGGAAGTCCTACTTACTGCATTTTGACGGTGGGGGGTATTGTTCACGAAATTAAGAGGATGAAAAGTGAATGTCCGGCACCTTAACCAGATTGGTGGATACAGAGAGTTCACCTAGGGGAGTTGCAAAGCCCTGATTCCAAACCAATGGCGCACATGGGCTCCAGGATCCTGAAGGAATAAATGACGTACGAACTAATAGTTCGTTACCGGCTACCATGGGACTGCATCTCCTAACTTTGCTCTACTGCCTTGTGGATCAGATCTTTAGGTCGAAAGCTCCGTGTATGACCCTCTAAGAAAACCACCTGTTTCGGTCTGGGCACTTGGACAGCATCGCAGCCCTCACATAAATCTAATGATGTATTTGGCGCATATCTATTTGGTGACTCCTTGTACCAATGTATATGTGTTTAAATAAATAAATAATTTAGATGTGAGTGTATGTGTATGCGCATGTGAGGCTAATTACATTATTTACCATACAAGATCATTACTATCTAAAAGTTTTATTGAGCTACAAGAATTTCATAGCTTTTAATGGGAAATAATTGACTTTTAATTAAAATGAATAAGAATCAACATTGAGTCAAGTATATACTAAAGTTTAACAGTCATTTTTGTTAAAGAAGGTCTCAGAAATCAGTGAGTTATAATAAATGTAAAACTTGGCATAATTGTTTGCTAATCAAAATTACCATACCACATTAACACAAATACATGAAACTGACAAGAAAAATAGTCAAACTGATCGTGATAATGTATTAGGAATCATAATAAGATAGAATAAACATTAATATATGGCTTGGAAAAGATGAAATAAAAATAACATGTATAAAAGAATGTTTTACCTTAATATCTAAAGTAAGATTACAAGTGAGTAATTCTATTAAAAATATGCTTTAGTTAGTGCCATGTATAATGGACATCATGAAACAAATGTTAAATGTTCCTCGTTTCAGTGCTGAATTCACAAGACTTGAATAAATTAACTAGTTAACTATCTAGCTATATAATTACTTCTTTTTCAATAACTTAAAAATAAGATGACTTTGTACAGATCTTCATAGATCTACTAAATAATGGTATCGTATTCAGTACAGTATTGGGACATGTTAGATTTAACACCTTGGGGACTTGTAGGTGTTGTTTGCTGTTGAGAATTCTTCAAAAGCTTTTTATTGGCACGGCTTTCAAGAAGCAAGACGAGGCCTCCTGAGGCTCTGAAGGAGCGGAAGAGGTTCCACTCAATCAGCACCTGATAGGACTCTCTAGGATGTCAACGTGGTATGCTACGATTGGACGATAGTATAACTCGCCTCCTTGCGGACTGGCTGAATTTTAATGATGTTATAACCAACGTTAACTATAAATACCCATGTTTTTCTGTATATTTTTGGTTCTTACTCAATGATCACTTCCCCTGTTTCTTCCATCTTCTGATTTGCGACTGTGGGGTTCTACACTTTCAAGTGCCGTTAGTTATATCTCGTATTCGGCCGTAATCAAGTAGAGTACGTAACACTTTTAGTTCATTCACTGGCCAGTTAAATCGCAGAATAAATTCCGAAGCTTTTATAATGTCGAAGAATCACGTGAAGGAACATCACAGTTTTTTATGCTCAATATGAAAGAAGACACCAATCCACATTCTTATGTGTTAATATCCTCTTCTTCTCAAAGTTACTTTGAAGATAATGATTGTGTTAACCGTTTTAAAAGTTTCACCTCGAAAGCATTATCTCACCTATCAGTTCACATCAAGTTTTTTTTTATTGAGCTTATTGGAGATCCAGAAAACTCGAAAAAAACCAGAAAAGGCTCTGAAATCACAGAAGCATTTTATCCAGCCAGTATTCGCTAGAAGTTTTGCCAGAAACATCTAGAAAGTGAAAAGCCACATGTTGAGTTCCTGATTGGGTGATTAACTATACTGCTACTATGTTTAGTAGCGTTCCAGAATTTTCCGGAAACGTAAGGCCATCTAAAATACTATTAAAACTTTAGAGTTTTTGTACATAAACCAGCCGTTGGAGTAAGTCGTTTCTTCCGTATTTCGCGCCTTTTCTTTTGTGTTTAGGTCGCTGTGTATATTTAGCCTGGGGTTTACCACAAATGCTTAGGAATCGAATCTAGTATTCAATCAGAAGAATTATCAGAAATTCTCACAGTCGAGGGGGGGGAGATCTGTTCTCGAAGTTTTTCTTTATAGTTAATGCCAAGGATATCCTACTCACTTCATTATCAGCGTAAGGGTGTAGTTCACGGTGTGAAGACGTAAAACAAACATCTAATGGTTTAACAGTTTTGGTGGGTACGGTTTGGAGTTAGAAAACCCTGATTCCAAACCAATGGTCTACATGGCCTCTATGATCCTAAGAAAATGAAAGGTGTACTAGAGTATTTCGTTCACTAGTTATCATAATACAACATCTGACGTTGCCTTATAGATTAGGCCTTTTGGTCAAGGCATGGGAACTGTCCCTTGACGAAAATGTCTACTTCTGTTTAGGAGCTCGAGTAGTATCCTTGCCCCACTCACAAGTATGACAATTATAAAGTAAATACTATACATCTATCGATTATAAGTTTTATGTTCGACATAATAAATTATTTGTTTTTCTTTTCTAAACACCTTCAAAATGATATAAGTAGTAAATGAGATAATTTTTACTTACAAATTTATTTTAATTCATTATTTTTTTTTCTTTCTTTATAAGAAAAATAGTCATAGACAAATGAATTCTTCTATTTATAAATAAATTAAAGATATGAACCAAGTTGATCATTGAAATAACAAAAACACATCTAACTTGATGAGTAAATAAAAGGAAGATAATTTAATCAGGAAATAAATGACATTAGCAGAGAAAAAAAACTTGTGATTAAGGTGAACAACAACTAATAGATAGACAGATAGATAGATACATAAAATATATTCAGTTCATTTGTGGGTAGTTTTATGTAATAATAACTATGTATGTTTGTGTGTGTGTGTGTGTATCCGTTCATATTCGTGATTGTTGTTATCACTAAAATATAGACATAACTGTTTATTTACTAATAACAATTATCATCATTCCTATCAATTTATTATTCATATAGTGGAAAATTAATTATTGAAAAAAGCGGCCAAATAATTGTACATTGACTGGAAATGTCTATATTGTGATTATGGAAATGATAAGCTAATTCATTTTCTTTTTTTTTGTCTATCTTCGAGTGTGTGTGCGCATGCATGTTTGTTTTATTTTAACCTCTTATATTCTTTTCTACTTCTGTTCTTTTGAAGTGTTCAAATGGTGACAGAAATGATGAAGTAGTGGATAATTGTAATAATTATTTATCATTCTTTTTTTTTTTTTTTGTTGGGAAAATGAATTTTCAAGACGATTAATTTGATAAAGAGATTATATATATGTATATTGCTTATTAGAGATTAGTTTTATTTTAAACCTCTCCTTGAATATCCTTTACATTTTGTGTATATAAGAAACCGGTTAATAAGAATGATACACAAAAAGGAGATTAATCATTTCTTTTTGTTATATTTATTCACAATTCGTAGAATAGATTATCATTGTGAAGTTGTACTCAATAGAAAGTTATAAATTAGTGAATGTTTAGGGAAAATGTATTCGTTTGATTAAAATAATAGGCGAGTGTGTATATGAATTTTGAAAGATAATTAACAAGTTATTTAATGAAATGTATACTCTAGAGTAGATCAATCACTTTGACAAAAATGTATCTATATGGTAAGATCTAGGATTGAAATGAGGATATTCAAATATCAGGACCAACTTTGGTATTTCGGAAATTCATGTATTCACTATGAATTATTCTATTTTTGGACTTTTAATATTGCGATCCCAAGACATATTAGCATAAATTAAACGTTTTGTGATAATAACAGTATCAGAAGGAGTTTTGTGGAGATTGTAGTAATTTCAATAGTTGAGATCATGAGTCAGTTGAAGCTAGACCACCATGGAAAATCTGGAAGCACTGGACTGCTGTTTCGTTTTGTTATGGGACTCCTCAGCACTGCTGAGTTCTAGCTTCAATTGACTCATGATCTCAACCATTGAAATTACTACAATCTCCACAAAAATCCCTTCTGATACTTATCAACATGTGCTTACTAGTGCCTGGCTTCGAGATGTATATTCTGGAGTTCTAGTGAGAAGCAGTGACCAGTGGAGTTCAACCGGGTCAGTTGTGAGATAGTAACTCACTGATGACAATGGTGGATGTGTCGCTCAATTTCGTGGATTAGTTGAAGTTAGACATCAACACCGCCGAGTAACGGCTCAATAGTCTAGTGGTTAAGAGCTCGCGCGCGAGACTGATAAATCCTGGGTTCGCATCGTGAATCGTGGATGTGTACTGCTGAGTCCCACAATAAGACGAAACGGCCGTCCAGTGCTTCCAGGTTTTCCATGGTGATCTAACTTCAATTGACTCATGATCTCGACTATTGAAATAACTGTCATTAGTTGGTTGTAATTGCTTTATTAATAACAAATAATTGTTGCTTTGAATAATTCAAACGAATATTCTGTATTATTTTATGATTAGTAAAGGCTTTTACTCTCCAGTTGTTAATTCTTAGAACTGAATTTTGATCAATCTTTGTTGCCATATGTGCATCCAGTGTACACTGCCTCGATACAGCTGTTTTGTTACAAAATTATTTAGAATGGACTGTGGCTAGCAATTAACTTCAAAATCTACATTCCATCCTATTACGTACTCATCAGGGATAATTCATGTGATAGAATTCTGTATATTATATAGTGGCTTACTTTTGATATTGAAATGTTTAGAAGATAAGAAATAATAACTAGTGAATTTATTCAAGTCAATACTATGAAATAACTGATTGATAGATACAAATACGAGAGATCAAGGTAACTTATATCGACTTGATATTAGTTAAAGAGTGATTGATCTAAATACAGAAGAGTAATTTATCTGAGTTCATCAATAGGTGGATGATTTATAAACAAGAAAATTTCCGGTTCATTGATTTATGTTAGTTAAATTATTATATACTAGGACAAATCGATGATATTTTGTATCGAAGAGAGATTTTTTAAGACTACCAACCTAAGATTTAAACAATACAGTTAGGAAGTAATAATATAGAAACTTAACTTAGTGGTTGTTTCACAATGACTTTGCTATCTTCACACTAATGAAGTAAAAGTGTCAACATGAATTATGGTGCTCAAAGTATCTGGCCAGATTTGTGGTAATTATTTAGAGATATTTCCTTTGGTTTAGTTCAAAGGATACACTATTATCATTGAACGTCAATTAGCTGATTGAAATGTATATAACCTCTGTCTAAGTGCGAAGAACAGCTGTTGATTGATTTTAACAATATAGAACTCTTTATGCATTCAAGTGACGTACACTTCAAAAACAACATTCATATAGTCGACGACACTTGGTTCATCTTTTTTTATTATAATACTACGATTCGTATTCGATTACTTTGATAACGTACATCAGAATATCATCTGTATTATTGTTCACTAACATATTCGGCATCTTCAATGGATGTTATATCCCGATAATTTATATATATATATATATATATATATATATATATATATATATATATATATATATATATATATATATATAGTTTCAGTTGAATATTCCATGTCAATTAGTAATCAATTAACTTTGAACTATTACACATAATATTTTATCTGAAAAGAAGCTATTAGTTAGTTAGAGAGATAATGATTTCCTGATTCTTCCTCATCTACAAATAATAAATATAACACTGATTTAGTCTCACTACATTAAAGCAACTGTTTATCAATCGATACAAGTATTAAAACAGTTAAGTAGTAATCACGTCTTATAGAAGTGCTTCCACTAATATAGTAAAATGTTGGAACATATTGTCGAATTAGATGTCTGTAAAATAAGCTCTTTGTTTGTGTGAAAATTAGAACTTATGCAGCAAGGAAGTAAATAATACGAGCATGTTAAGACTTTCAAGATCTAAAAACTAACTTTATTTTTGCTTGACGTGCATGAAATTTGGTGTAAATAAGCACTGAAAATAGTATGTTCCGCACAAATAATATTTTTGTGTGCGTTAGAAATCTACTCTGGCGCTCGAACCTAGGGAGGTGCCTTTTATAGGTGACCGTTCTTTAAGTTTTCAATTAAAGTCTTGATTCACAAAGTAGTGGAGCATTATCAGAAAATCCAGTCTCGTGGTGGTCGATGACCAAAATTGTTTCATTCGCCGCTTATCCCTTTTAGTATTTTGTAGTTCATGTTTACCACTCTTTTGAAGTAAACTTTTCCAACCCTCTTGGTTGGATTCGCCATATCTATCAACAATTTTTCAGAGCTAAGATTTTTTTGTCGTCTTATTCATTTTAAACAGAATTCCCATCAGCATGGATGTAATGAGTAGAGAAACGTATCCTCACTATAATGATCACTTTAATGATTTTCACTCGGGGATCTCTGGTCAGTGAATGTTTCTGTCTCATAAAAATATACTTTTTCTAGTCGATTCAGTAGAATATTGTTTATTTTTGTGTTTATGCTTAATCTCACTTCGAGCTTGATTCCTTTGTAGATATTATGATTGTTAAGTGGATATGTTAAACTCAAACTGTAGTTCGTCAATACAGATCTACAAAGCCATCAATTAACCTACTTTATTACCCAACTATCTATGACTAGTTCAGCAATGTTCAGAATTATCAAAGAAATCACTAATACATATTACAGAAAATCACAAATAAATGACTTCATTTCATTGAACAGAGAAAAGTAAATTGCAAGTTTTATTTAAATAAAAATTCGTATTACGTTTTTGTTTTTATTTACCCTGTGCAAATTATATTCATTTAATAGTATACACAAAGCAATTTCCAGTGAATAAATATATACCTATATATATATATATATATATATATATATATATATATAAAACAAAAGACATCTACTAACATGATAAAATATTTCTAGAATGCGTATATGATTCGATCATAATTGATTACTAATATATGTAAACGGCTCCTATTGGAGCTATGTTACAAGGAATGTAAATCAGTCATCATAATGACAAATTCTAAATTGATCAGAAGAAAAGTAACCGATGAAACATCTAAAAACGTTTCAAATTATAGTTCAAGGTTAAACAGTTAGCATATATCAATTGAAATAAACGTCAAATAATACCCTAATAAACACTTTTACAAATGGTATAAGAAAATCCATTCAAATTGTTTAGTGAAATCATTAGTTAAGCTGATCCACCACATTGCACTTTAACTCTGAAGATCTTTAAGTTATTATTATCATTATTGAAAAAAATGTAGTAGTTTATTGATAGGTACTTTGGTTCACTTATTGTTATCTGATGAATTAGACATTGAACATGGAGGTAGATGAGATGGGAAAGATATCGGGTGGATAGGAGATGTATATATAGCATTACTTGAAATATTACAGTTGCTATCAAGGTGAGTAGTATCCAGTAATTCTGATTTGATAGGTTTAAATGTGATGCTTTTCTGATCATCATTTAATAATAAAGAGTCTGACTGTTGAATTTGTGAGTTAAGACGTATAATTAATTTGTATAATTCATCAATCGCATTTGCTTGCATTAGAATGTAATTTTTCGCTAATAACAATGTAGCAATTTTTGACAATTTTCTTACAGATGGACTGTGTGCATACGGGATAACACTGCGTAAATCATCTAATGCATCATTTAAATCATGCATTCGTCGTCTTTCTCTAGCATTTATACTTAAACGAGCATTTCGTTGATGATGATGCTGAACATGATGTTTAGTTACATTTCTTGAATGTGCATTTGAAAAATGATGACGGTTTAAACATGTTAATGAATGAGATGTTGTTGTTATTAATGATGAGGGTGATGAAGATGATAACGGCGTTGTTAATTTCCATAGTAGATCATTTTTCTTTCTATCATAAGAGGTTTCGCATTTAATACTTGGGAACAAGATAAGGTCATCATTATTTTTTTGTGATTGAGTGGGATCATGTGAAGTAGAAGTAATAGTGGTAAATAAACAACTATCATCAATATCGTATATTTCGTCCATTTATGATAATTATAAATGGAATTAATCTGTAACAGTTTGAAACGTCCTCACATCGTTCTCATCGTATATCGGTCAAGTCTGTTGTCCAATCAGAAAAGGACTATGACGAGATGTCAACCAATCACATATATTCGATAGTTTAGACGAGTTTAACTATTCGTTACAAAGTTGGTTAATTATATTTCTATTAAATTACTGTAGTCTCCACAAAACCCCTTTCTGATATTTCTATTATACAGAAATAAAATTAGTTAGGGAGTAGACTAGGATATTGAGAAATTCTATGAAATTTTCGGTAATCGAAACACAAGTATCAGTGTCTCTAAAAGACCATTAAAATACATACACATTTTCAGTACTGTTAATGTTTATATTACCAATGAATCCCCGTCGTTATAGACTAGCTTTAGTCTGAATGGAATGTTGACCGATTAATAAATTAATGACTAACTTCGTGAGAAAATTCTTCCAGTTTTAAACTAATAATTTTGAAATAGTTTGGCACTGTGTATGGTGAATAGTAAAAATAAAACGTTTTACGAAAACCATAACAGAAATAAAATAATTCAAATACTTCTTTACACAGTCGGGTCCGATCTTCTTCAGGAAGTTAATCCAAAATATAAAATATAAGTAAGGTCAAAAAACAACTATGAGTTAAACAACCGTCTAATCATGTTAGAATTTCGAATATGGTTCGATGTAGCAATGAATTAATGTAAAGAACTAACATTTGCTTGTAAAAGTAGGAATATTCATTCGTTACGATGTAGTGAGTGTCCAACTGGATACAAAGGAAATTCGATCATAAAAATGAAGGTTCTCCTGGGATTTGAGTTGCATTACAGTCGCTGCCGAAGGAATAACCTCTAAGAGTCCTATATTTGGCACCTTAATAGACACTGTAAACAAACCAGGTATACACAAATGGTTTGAAATAACTCATTTCATCCCACTTAATCTGTCGCATAGTGACTAAAGCTTTAGATGATGGAGATGTGAAGCTCTCTTCTGATATTTTCTACACAGGCAATGACAATTTTCTGATTAAAACATTTAGCTTAGTTAATTCAACACCACCACGAGTATTCAATAACACATATAATGCATGCAACTGAAGCTATCCGATGAATCCGATTGACTGTGAACTCAAAACCTCTTTAGAGAGATTTTCAATGCCCGAATATTAATGTGACCCAACATTCAACTGAACTTCTTTATTTGCTGAATGAAAACAGGTGACTAGCAAATCATCGTTCCGCTTAAACTCAAACTACGCAATCTTGGTTATGATCCATTAACAAACCGGCCAGAAAAATAATTTAGACGTCCACCATTCAGATTTAATCTGACAGTGACGTAGTACATTATTATCGAACACGAAATTGTGTTCCATTTATAGACATTGACCGTTTCGCATTAACTTCATTCTGTATTGTTTATTAATGTTCGGTATGTACAAATTTCATTGTTAGTTTTTCCAACTTGACTTTAGTATTTCCAGTTCTTGAACAAATTGCATTAATTAATATTCTAGGAAAACATAGTTTGAACAACTGAGTACCATGTATCTTAAAATATAGCGATATCAAGACAGGGTTCTAGAGTTTTATAGGCCTTGCTCGAAAATCATACCTCTATGCATATATATATATATATATATATATAATTATTACTATTGTGGTAATTTTTCAGTGAATACATTTGGAACTTCTTAATTATAGCAAAAAGGAAAGAGTACTATCAACAATTTTGGGACCTAAAGTTCACATATTTCTCGATATTTTAATCATCTAAATAAAACGTATTAGAAATATATCAGTCTTACATATTGGTTCAAGGTGATTTTCGTTCAAATGACTCCCATTATATTATATAATTCAATGTGATTTTTTATTCAAGCAATATTTGTAAAGTTTTACAAAATCTTTAACTAATAATTAGTCTACAATTAAATGAATTAGAATAGGAATTATTCTAATTTTTCTTGAGTTTCCATTAGTAAAGCTTTTAGATTTATTGCATTTTTGTCTCAAATAGGCAGACAGAAAAGAAAGAGAATAAAAATCAATCTTGTTCACCGCCATTTGAACTACTGACTCCGTGTATGATTGTATCACATACAGAAATATTTGTTTATAAATGAAGAACTGATGCTACCGTTCCAGTTTTACGAAAAATCATAGGAAATTTTTATTTCACATTTATTGACTTTTGTAGTTTCCTCGACATAACAACACTGTAAAATGATCACACTCAAAAGTATTATCAAGATTTAATATAACAAGAATAGGAAAAAAAGAATTCAGCGAAGAAACTTTTCTTTTCGACGAAATCATTTACTTAAGCTATACATTCTTATATATAGTTATCTGGAAAATATATGTCTATAGGAGTATAGAAAAAATTGCATCATAAAATGGATTCGAGACTAAATAAAAAATGAGATTAACGTACTAATCAAGGGGTAAGGAAGAAAATAGTTTATGGGTCAGATAATAGTCCAATTGACAGATATAGAGTATGTGTATGTTTCGAGCTTTTTTTCTGCACCTTTATCTGATTATTGTTAAAACTTTCTAATTATCAGAAGGGGTTTTGTGGAGATTGTAGTAATTTCAATAGTTGAGATCATGAGTTGATTGAAGCTTGACCACCATGGAAGCACTGGACGGTCGTTTTGCCCTATCGTGGGACTCCTCAGCAATGCGCATCCACGATCCCGCACTCGGGATTCGAACCCAGTACCTATCAGTCTCGCGCCAGGCGCTTAACGATTGGACCACTGAGCCGACCAGTATCCAATGATGCTAATGTCTAACTCCAACTAATCCACGAAATTGCACCACCGTACACCATTGTCTCCAGTGAGCTGATATCTCACAACAGACCTGGTTGAACTCCACTGGTAACGGTTTCTTACTAGAACTCCAGGAGTATCTCTTGAAGTCAGTCACTAGTGAGCGGATGATTATTATCATAAGGGGTTTTGTGGAGAATTTAGTTATTTCAATAGTTTAAATCATGAATCGACTGAAGCTAGTCCCCCATAGAAAACATGAAAGCACTGGACGGTCGTTTCGTCCTAGTACGAGACTCTTTAACAGTGCGCATCCACTGACAGTCCTGTGTTTGTATCTCGCGGGAGGGGGCGGGATCGTGGATGCTTCCAAGTTTTCTATGGGGGACTAGCTTCAATCGATTCATGATTTTTTAAATTATTATTTTGCAATTTTAGACTCTAATCAGTTATTATTACCTTATACAAGTTTGCTTGATTATTATTCAGTTGATCATCATGACCTTTTGTTTGTCGTTTTTCTTCATACCTGTCAATTGGACCATTATCTGACCCATAAACTATTTTCTTCCTTACCCCTTGATTAGTACGTTAATCTCATTTTTTATTTAGTCTCGAATCCATTTTATGATGCAATTTTTTCCAGATAACTATATATAAGAATGTATAGCTTAAGTAAATGATTTCGTCGAAAAGAAAAGTTTCTTCGCTGAATTCTCTTTTTCTTATTCAATGACAAGAATATTATAGAAATGATTTTTCAGAAGTATTGATTTTGCTACAGTAAGGCATAAAAATATTATTTATCTCTTGTTAAATTACGCTATACTCATTATTCATTGTAAATGGTTTACTGATGTATATTAACAAATAAAAAGACCAGTTTGCAGATTAAACTCTGGTTCCATTTGAAATAAACAAGACAAAATAAATAGCTTGATTTATTTTTGGTAAAAAAAATATTACTAACTGGCAAAATTAAAATTTTATTCAGTAGTTTAATTATATATCCAAGTAAATTCTAATTGTACAATACGAAAATTATTAAAATTAAACTCAGTTTTAACGAAGATCATTAAGATTTATATTTGAATATATAAAAGAAAAATATAGAATAAAATTGTATAGAGATGTATGAAAAACGGATAAAGTTTAAGTAATTAACTAATTTTTGGTGTATTGAATCCAGCTAATAAACCACTATCTGGACCAGGTTTTAAAATAATCTTTTGAACATCACGAAATTGTGGATGATCAGAACCACAGAGTATAGTTAATAGAGCTGATTCACATGTAGTCAAATAGACACCTGATTGACTCATTCGTTGAAATCCAAACATTCTACAATATATGTATGCAAAGTATGAGAAATTAAAATAGATTTTCAGTGAATTTCATTTTGTCGTATCATAATATTTAAGAAACAAGACAGGATATAGTTGAAATATAAAGCTAGATATTGGAATACAGTAGTGCAACATTTTGCGGTTCGTCGAGTCTACTAATAATATGTACGCTTCCTACATGAGTTCTCAAACCAGCTACTTGAGTAAGTAGAAAGATTTCTATTGACCAACTGAATCGGAAGTACATGCACGAACTGATTCATAAATATAGATATATATCCCTCAGAAAACTAAGCCATAATTTTTCAACAATTAGCGTATTTCTACTTCATCAGAAAGTCAACTGTAATCTTGACCAATAGTGCGCGTGTGACAGCATCTTTGATTGATTATTTAGCTTATATTTGACTGGCCGAGTTTATTAATCAGGCAATATAATCTCATGAGTTTATATTCAAAAATTTAGGCTGGTATGATGGAATGAGAAGTATAATGAGCACGTAGTGAGGCGGTTTAGTTGTTGGAGAACCCAACTTTTTGCCACTTAACTGTAGGATAAGAGTGCATTGGAAAATTTTACTCCCTAGCTACATGAAGATTAAACGATGCTACAAAAACAAAAGTAGCTAATTAGGTCTTTAAATTATGGTTTACACTAATTCTATGATATTTTAATGATTTAGTAACATTTTAGGTTTTAATAGTCATCAAAAACGCTACCAGCGATTTAGCTCAAAATAACTTAAACTTCTTGTAAAGAGATTCTTGCCTTAAGTACACCAATACCGGAGATGAAATTGTGAATAAATAAGACTACTGTTACCGATGTAAGTCAGAAGAAAAGATCAATCAAA